AGCCCTTTTCTTTGCTATTAAAGAATTATATAACCCCTCTGTTCCCTAAAATTGACCACTAGTACTAACTTTTCTTGCAACCATTTGATTTTTTTCTCATAGCCATTTAATTTTTACATCTTTATTTTTTTAAAAAGATCTATTTATTCATAAAAGAACTGGGGTGCAGGCACGAGGTATGGGGGTGGGGGTGAGAGAGGATTCACCAGAGTGGGGAACAGAACAGGCAGATTTACTAAAGAGACCAGTGGGTGAGACGTGAGAGGTCTACTGAGCCATGTGGGTCACTTCCTGGCAGTGTTTGCCAATAGCTTCATTGTGCTGACACTTAACCCCTCATGCCACCAGCATGGCCTTGCATCTTTAATTTTTGAAGTGTAATCTCATTAAAATATTAATTATAATAAAATACATATAACAGAAACTGTACCATTTTAAGTACACAGTTCAGTGGTGTTTCTTATATTCCCATTGTTATGAAACCTTCACCACCACCCATCTCTAGCACTTTTCATCTTCCCAAACTGAAATTTAATAACTCTCTGTTCTCTCCCCACCCCAAACCAGAGGCTGTGAAAATGAATGTGAAACCAATATCTGTGAATTTACCCCTTCCAGGTGCCTTATATAAGTGGAATCATACAATATTTGTCTTTTTGTATCTGGTTTATTTCACTCAGCATACATATATTCAGTTTCATCTTTGTTGTAGCAAATTGTACCATTCCAAATTTTGATCTTTCAGGAAGTTGGGGATCCGCAACAAAACAGAGAGATGAGGAGTGCCAGGAACTCTTTGAGTCACAGGATGAGAATTTTGAGGAGGGAATTAGCAATAGCACCATACACTGTAAATGTAATTTAACAAGGAAGTTTAAGACTCGGTTGTTAAACATTTTTTTTTGGTAACTGCTTTGTCACTGGAATAGTGCAAGGCACTAAATTTTGGAGATTAAAGCCAGTCTGCAAATATAAAGTTATTGTTATGGAGAAAATTGGAATTTAGAACACAGGGAATGAAGAAAAGTGGAGAGAGTGACAGGGTAGGGGAGATGCTACTTGAATATGGAAGCCTGAATATTTTTTAATTTTTAAAATTATTTTTTTTAAGATTTATTTTTACATACAGAACTGGGGTACAGGTCAGAGGCTCAGGGGCGGTGAGAGGCTTCACCAGAGACAGAGTGGGGAGCAGAACAGGCAGATCGACAAAGTACACTGCTGAGGGGAGCAGCGGGCCGGTCAGGAGAGGTCTGCCACGCCATGTGGTCACCTCCGGGGCAGGCGGGAATTGAACTCATGAGGAAGTGGCTTTGGCTTCTTAGTGCAGTGCTTTAACCCGCTGTGCCACCAGGGAGGGCCGGAAGTCTGAATATTTTTAAAGATATTTATTTATTTATGCATACAGAACTGGGGTGCAGGTACCGTAAGAGGATTCACCAGAGACTGAGTGAGAACAGGTGGACCTACTGAAATATACTGCTAAGGGGAGCAGGGGGTAAAATAGGAGAAGTCTCCTGCAGTGGCTTTTGATAGCTTCATAGCACTGACTTTAACCCCTGTATCACCAGGGAGGCCCTAATATTTTTCCTTTGTCATATAAAATGGAACATATCTAAAGAAAAGTGAGCAAATTAGAACTGTGCATTTCGATGACTTTCCATGGATAGAACATGTCTGTAACTATCATATCACCGAAGTCAAGAAATAAAATATGACTACCATCCCTGAAAGTCCCTCATGTCCCCTTCCAATTTCCAGACTCTGTTACCTATGCAAAGGCAGTCTGACTTCAAACATTTTAACATGGCTTTGTGCTTTATAAATGAGATTATGAACATGTATTTTTTTCATCTTCTTTTCTTCAATATTTCAGGAAAAATAAATACTAACTATAAGTCAGTCTACTACATAGTTAAGTATCCCTACTTAAAAAGGGTATTTCATGATCTATCACTAAATTCAGTGATAGGCTTTTCATATCATCAGTACAATTCTCTGTCATTATTAGTTTCTATGAGAAAACCATGAAGCAGATTTTATGAATAGTATCTGTGAAGGAGGATTAAACTGTCTGGTGCCCTTTGAGTCTATAAGATCTTAGAAAAGACATACATACAATCTAAGTATGTAGCATTTTTTTTATTGTTTGATTGGTTGAAATATATTATAGAATTATTAAACCAGGTAATATTGACCTTACAAGAATTCACCCAGTTTTTAAAGTTATCAATTAAAGACATTAAGAGAAGAAATGATTTTAAATTTTAGAAAGGATTTATGAATTAGATAAATAGAAGAATGAATAGAAGAAAATTTTCTGACAATGAGGTTTGTTAAATTTTAAAATGAATTAACATGGGTCTGATGTAATTTTCTTGTTGGGAAGGACTTCTGCCTTCTCTCCTTGCTTCTCTCTCTCCCTATCTCCTTCTCTCCCTCCCTCCCTTACTTTTATTTGTTGTTTTTTATATTTTGTCCAGAGTTCATAATTGTTATATCTAGGAGGCTTCCTCTGATAGTAACTACTTTGCCATTAGAGAAGTGAATGTTATGGGAAGAATTGGAGTATAGGCCAAAAGTGTGGGGGTGAAAAAATTCATCAGAAACAGTGGAGAACAGAACAGGTGGATTTGTTGAAATACACTGCTAAGAGGAGCAATGGGTAAGACAAGAGCTGTCTGCTGCTGTTGGCAACAACTTTAGAGATAAATACATTAGATTTCTCTTGGCCTGTAGGGGCTTAGGTAAAGATGCACCTGTAGATAGGCAGCTGATGGTCTTTTACTATTTAGGAGTCAGTGAAAGCTTTTGGTAGACCTTGTTGCAATCAGTCACTGCCTCAGTGGTAACCAGTCTGTCTGCATTTTCTGATTGTTCTGGGTACTTAGTGATTAAGTGCCACACTGCCTAACAAGGAACTCATAGTTGTTCTTCACAGTTCTTTTTTTAAGGCTCTTGTTTTATTTAGTAATGGGAATGGTTCAGATTCATTTATTTAATCTGTTTTAAATTTTGTTTATTGAGATTTATTATTTTTATGAGTTTTGACAAACAGTTGTTTGACAAATAATCAGGAAGTACTGCTTATGTCTTGCTTGGGGTAAGGGCAAGGATAGAAAGGAAGATAGAAAAGAGCTATAATATAATGACTTTTGGGGGATTTTTATGGAAATCAAAGTCAAGCTTCACCCACAATAGGACCTGGTTGTTTGTGTCCTCTTAAAGAGAATTAACTTTGCTTATTTGTATAATTAATATTGACCTCACTTGGCCCTTTTAAGATTAAATTTATTTATTCATTTATTTTAAAGCACTGTCATTTTCCTTTTTAAAAAGATTTTATTTATTTCTGCATACAGAACTGGGGTGCAGGCCAGAGGTGCAGGGGAGGTGAGAGGATTCACCAGAGACAGAGTAGGAGCAGAACAGGCTGACTGACAAGTATACTGCTGAGGGGAGCAGCAGATGGGTCAGGAGAGGTCTGCCCTGCCACATGGATCACCTCCGGGGCAGGGATCAAACTTGCTCTGAAGCAGCTGCAGCTCGCTTTCTGTGCTGTGCTTTAACCTGCTGTGCCACCAGAGCGGGCCTAAATTTATTTTAATCATTGACTTTCTGCAACATTAGGTATGTAGAAAGAGGGGAGTCAATTAAAAATAAAAAATTATTTCAAGATTAAGAGGTGGGATGTGTCTTTGTGTGTTTCATTCCATTTGTGTGCTCCATTAATAAAATATTCTGGGACCCAAATTATATTCTAATTATAACAACAATAGGTTCTGGATTTTCCAGGACATTTCACTTGAAGAGTCTGTCTTTTTCCTGTAAGTTTCATTCCTATAATTTCCTTGCTTAGATGACATGTGTGGATTTTTGGTTTGGAAAATATCACTATAACAGCAGAGAAAAGATTGGTTAATGAGAAGAAGCTCCACTGAAGATTACTCTGCAACATGGAGTGAATTGGGCTTTTACAGAATTGGGAGAATCATGGTTACACTAAGTAATTCTGAGCTGGGGTAGAGAAAGAAAACTACCTCCAACAGAATGCCTACTATGTATATATGATAGGCAGTGTGCTAGGTACTTTCCCTATTGACAGCTGCTATGGCTGGAATTCTATCTTAGATCCTACCACCACTTAAATAAAAAAACACATTCCTCTTGGGATCATTAATACTTGTCACAGCTGCCACACCCTTTTTAAGAACCTGGCACCATAACTAGGATAGTAGATTCTCAGGGCTTGGAGTGATCCTTGGGAGTCATCTAGTTAAAAGGGGAGCAGCTGTTCTCTTCACCACAGACTCTGAGATTCAGACTGTTTAATTCTTTCAAGGGAGGTGCAAAAAATGTATGGGGTTATAGTTAATGTAGGCTGCAATCTCATTAAAAAACAGGGTAACCATAAAAGCATGTATGGAGTGTGAGTACTTTCCAAACTAGAAATGGCAATGGAGGACAATATGGTTTATTGGAGTCATATAAAGGACAATATAAATGAAAGGGGGGCGGGTGGGGGGTGGGGAGGAAACCACAACTGGCAGAGGGACATAATGTGAGTTTCTTGAATTCAGGTACAGGGCACTAGATGGGATCCTGATTGGCTCAGGTAAGTCCCAGAGTCCTTTCTTCAATTTCACCAGCTGAGAAGTACTGGGCATCCTTGGTCCTCTTTGCCCTTTAATTAGAAAGCCTGGAAACCCTTTCTTTTTTTCCACCCAAAAGGACGAGAGGAAGAGGCATTCAGGCCTGGACTATATAGAAAGCAGGTTTTTTCTCTTATGTCTGAACAGTGGTATAGACAGTCGTCCAGAAAGCAGGGGGAGAAGATAATTCACGCCCTCTCAAGGTCCCTTCGGTTCAAGGATACTGTCATTCTCTGGCTGTACTAGAGGGGAGGGCCTGCAACGTCCATGCTGCCATGGAAACACGCCGCCGTGTTCCTTTTTCTTACGTGGGGCGGGTACTCCTCTTGAGTCACCAATCATCCACAGGATTTCTTGAGTGGCGGGCAGCAGCAGCGAATGGGAGAGCCGATACGGCGTGACGCGACGGGAAAAGGGGGAGTTCGCGGCCGGTGGCGGCGGTGGCGACAGCGGCGACCTGGGCATCGAGCTGGAGGGACCTGGGGAGCGTGCAGAGTCCTCTAGCTCTAGCGCGAGGGACCCCCTGCAAGGATGCCTGGTACTGCTCGGAGAAACGGGAGGCTTTAGTCGGCTCTGAAGGCTTGGGTTTCGGGTTTGAAGGGAAGGCTGGCCGGAGGGGGCGGGGTGGCAAGCATGGCGGCGGTGACGGGGAAGGGGTTGGAGGCCCTGAAGAGGGGGTGGGGAAGCAGTAGCTGGAAAGGCTGGGTGGTCGTTGAGGAAGCTTGAGGGGCTGTAAGACTTCTGGAGAGCAGAGATTACAAAGCAACCTTTTGGGGGGCAGTACAGGCGCCAGAAGGACGTAGGGAGAGTTATGGGGGATGGAAAAAGGGGCGGGGAGAGGTTAGAAAGGAGGGGAAAGGGTGTCTACGGGAAGGTGATGGAGAAGAGAAAGGGAGGGGTGAGCAAGCTGTTGTAAATAACGAGGAAATTGGGCCTTGGTAGGTACAATGCAAAAGTGCTATTGTATTACAAATATAATATTCAAATTGGTAGTGTCTAGACTGGCCCCCCATCCAAGCTCCAACTGCGCGCTCAACTGCGGGAGAAAGGCTAGTAGGTTACACAGAACTGATCTTTTGTTACTCCATTCCAGGGGAGCAGATGGACCCTACTGGAAGTCAGTTGGATTCAGATTTCTCTCAGCAAGACACTCCTTGCCTGATAATTGAAGATTCCCAGCCTGAAAGCCAGGTTCTAGAAGATGATTCTAGTTCTCACTTCACTATGCTCTCTCGACACCTTCCCAATCTACAGGCACACAAAGAGAATCCTGTGTTGGTGAGTAATACCTTGTTTACAAATGATTGAGCAGATTATGATTTTTTAAAGATTTATTTATTTATGCTTACATAACTGGGGTGCAGGCCAGAGGTGCAGGGGTGGTGAGGATTTACCAGAGACAAAGTGGGGAGCAGAACAGGCAGTCTGACAAAGTACACTGCTGAGGGGAGCAGCCAGTGGTCAGGAGAGGTCTGCTACCATGTGGTTCACCTTAGAGCGGGGGAATTGAACTCTAACTGAAGCAGCTGTGGCTCACTTGCAGTGCTGTGCTTTAACCTGAATCTGTTGACCAGCAAACATAAGTGCTTAAGAAATCTCCATCTTTTGAATAAAGTTGGTTAGAAAAAGGAAATAAGCATATTCACAAAAAGTATGTCTAGTTTTGGATTGCTTAATGTATTGTGGGATTATTATGTTTGCATATGTTCTAGGATGTTGTGTCCAATCCTGAACAAACAGCTGGAGAAGAACAAGGAGACAGTAATAGTGGGTTCAATGAACACGTGAAAGAAAACAAAGCTGCAGGTGAGGTGTTTAAAGCTATCAGTCCCTTTTATAGGGTGCTCTTGTTGGAGCAGAGCAGTTTTAAAGTTGTTTGTGGTGAAGGTAAGGAAGTAATAGCCTAATAATATCTGGTGCATAATAGGCACACAAAAAGGTTGATGTTCTAAAGCAGTCGATTAGATTGGTATTGTCTAAGTTCTTGAATTTGTAATAAAGTTTAGTAAACATGCTTTTTGTGCTAATACCAGGGTTTTTTTTTTTCCTCTTAAGACCCTAAGGACTCTTCTCATTTGGATACATGTGGTTCCATCAGTCAGATCATTGAACAGTTACCTCAGCCAAACAGGACAAGCAGGTATTTGAATATTTGAAGGAATTTAACTTATTAACGAATCAGCCAATCCTTTTTACCTGTATTTGTTGCAATGGTAAAAGTATTAAATCTGATTTTTGTAAAGTTGGGAGTGGGACTTGAGGATTACATTATTTAGTAGTGTACAGTGCTGTACAAGACAAGTACTTCCTCATTTTCACTTTTCAAAGCTTCTTAGCATTCTGCCCAAAATTATCCTAAGTTCAAAGGAGAACATGGACAACTTCAGGAATCTTAGGGTGGTGGAGTATAAAAGGAAGGTAGTTGGGGAAATTTAGTTTGAGGTGGTGCAAGACTGGCTTTATCTCAAAAATAAATGCTTTTTAATAGTGTTTGCACATAATTATTTTTCCCTCACAGATCATTCATTGGATGCTCTTGAATAATATGTAAATTGGTGGGCTTATTTTGGCCTGCAGGTGGGTTCTATTTGAGCCACACAAGGTTGTTAACTATTTGAATTGATTGACAGAATTCTAAAGTGGTGAAGTTTCCCATAAAATTTGGGCTTTGGTTTCTGGTTACACTAGTTTGATTGGCGGCAGTTGAGTGGAGCTGTGACTAGCAGACAGCGTCCACCTGTGGCATGAGTGCTGCGGTTTGTCATAGTACCTACAGTTTGCAATGCCACTTGAACATTGAATCAAAGTTTTCTTTTGTCATAGTGCAGTGACATTTTTCTTACCTCTAGCACCGTCATTTGTTACCTTGATTTGCTTTCTATACCTCTTTAGGAACATATGCCAGTCTTAATTATGTTTTTGTTACTCAGTTGTTTTTGTTATCCTGGTTTCAACCAGTGGGGACAGGAAGTATGGTGTCTTTTGTATTTATCAATAAAGCAGGCTGTTTCAGAAGTATCTTGCTACTATTTATCTTGTTTTGCTTAACTGTGTTGCTCTTTCTCTTAAAAAAAAACAAAACAAAACTAATGTTTATTACCTTCAATAAGGTTGCACTCCCGAGGCATATGCTTTAAGGGAACTTTGCCATCATGGAGCTTATAATTTGTTAAGAGATACCCTAAATCATTACATAGATAGCTGTTCAGTTATAAATGTGATCATTGTAAAGGAGGGATATTAATAGAATATATATCCTAAGGATGGGAAAATCTTCAATGAAGAATGTGATCTAAAGAATAAATAAAAATCTGCTAGGTGTGGTTAAAGGCTGGGGAGAATGTGTCATGTGAGAAGACCTCTCCAGATAGGAAAGACTGTGCAAAGACTGTGAAATACAAAGAATTTGGGGTTGGTTCTCAATGAAAGCTCCTTCCAAATGTGAAAATTGATCTCTTCATGTTACCTTAATTCATTAATGCAGATATTTTGATTAAAAATTGCTTGTGAACTTTTCTGTCATAAAATTCCAAAAAAAATTTCCCTTTTGCTTAGTTTCTAATGGTGTAAGCTGATGATGCTAAACATGGGCCATCTTATACTTTTGTAGAAATACTTTATTTTCCTTTTTTTAAAGGATTTATTTATTTGTGCTTACAAGAATTGGGGTGCAGGTCAGAGATGCTGTTGGGGGTGGTGGGAGGATTCACAAGAGACAGTGGGGAGCTGAACAGGCAGATTGACTGAAATGCACTGCTTGAGGAGAGCAGCAGGTGAGACAGGAGAGGTCTCCTGTGCCAAGCAGGTAGCTCCCTGGTTGGGGGTTGAACTCATGCTGCAGTGGCTGTAGAAACTGCTTCATAGTGCTGTGCTTAATTAACCCCTTGCGCTAGTAGGGAGGATCCGATATTTTATTTTCAATATCGGGTCCTCCAGCACCTGAACCCATGGCTACCACTGATTAGAACTGTCCTTCACTGGTAAAATTTTTTCATTTCAAAATACATAATGAGCTCTTACAATATGTAACTTTCCGGAATTGACCTTTTTCCCAGAATTGACCTTTTTCAGTCATTATAACTCCTAGGAGGTCTATCCAAGTTGTTGCATGCACCAATAATTTGTGCTGTTAAACAATTAAAAAATTAAGGTGATTGTAGAGTCCCATGTAGTTGTGAGAATGAAACAAGTATGCTTAATACAATTGCCAGTTTCCCCCAGTGGTAACTTTTTGCAAAATTAACACTGTAGTATGATGTCACTAGCCAGTATTGATGTTGATAAAATCTACTGTTGAATCACCTGTTGAGTTTGTATCCATATTATACTCCCACATACTCAAGACAAAGCAATGAACAGCTCCAACTCCACAAGGGTCCCTAGTGTTGGACCATGTTTGCCTTCTTCTCCAGCACCTGAACTCATGGCCACCACTGATTAGAACTGTCCTTCATTGGTAAAATTTTTTCATTTCAAAATACATACATGAGTTCTTACAATATATAACTTTCCGGAATTGACCTTTTTCAGTCAGCGTAACTCCCAGGAGGTCTCTCCCAAGTTGTTGCATGTGCCAATAATGTGTCCCTTTTTATTGCTGAGTAGCATTTCATGGTATGAGTGTAACACAGTTTACATGTCAAAGAAATTTGGGTTGATTCTGGTGTTTGAGTATTATAAATGAAGTTGCTCTGCATACTTGTGTTGTTGCAGGTTTTTGTGTGAACATTGTATTGTATCTCTAGGATAAATGGTCATGGTGGACAATTGCTTGGTCACATGGTATTTGCATGTTTGGGATTTTTAGAAACTGCAAAACTTTAAAAAAGAGTGGCCATATCATTTTACAGTCCCCTTAGCGCTGTACAAGAGCTCCAGTTTCTATTTTCACCAGCATTTGGTGGTGTCAACTATTTTAATTTTAACCATCCTGGTGTGTAGTGATATTTCTATTGTGATTTTAATTTGCACTTCCCTAAGGATGCTGAACAGCTTCTCATGGGCTGTTTTGTTACCTGTATATCCTGTTCAATGAAATGTCTGTCTCATGTCTTTTTGGCCATTTTCTAATTAATTTTTGTGTTTTGAGATTCTGTATTCTAGTTGCTAGTTCTTTGTAGGATATGTGGTTTGCTGATATTTTTTATCATTAGCATGTGTTTCCATCATCTTCAGAGTTTTTTTTTTTAAAGATTTATTTGTACATACAGAATTGGGGTACAGGCCAGAGGCTCTGGGGCAGTGAGAGGTTTCACCAGAGACATAGTGGGGAGCACAACAGGCAGATCGACGAAGTACACTGCTGAGGGGAGCAGCGGGAGGGTCAGGATAGGTCTGCTACACCAAGTGGTCACCTCCTGGGCAGACGGGATCGAACTCATGCTGAAGTGGCTTTAGCTTCTTAGTGCTGTGCTTTATCCCACTGTGCCACCAGGGAGGGCCATCATCTTCAGAGTTTTAACAGAGTAGGCCTTTAGTTTTGCTGAGATTGGTTAAGTTTTTTTTTTTTTTAACTTATGGGTACAGAACTGGGGTACAGACCAGAGGGGTGGTAGGTGAGAAGAGTCACCAGAGACAGAGTGAGGAGCAGAACAGGCTGATCGACAAAGTACACTGCTGAGGGGAGCAGCGGATGGGTCAGGAGAGGTCTGCCACACCATGTGGGTCAGCTCCCTGGTGGGGGATTGAACTCTTGTTGCAGTGACTTCAGAGAGCTTTATAATGTGGTGCTTTAACCCACTGTGCCACCAGGAAGAGCCCGTGGTTAAGTATTTTTAACAGGGTAATACAAATAGTTTATTTAAAAAATAGCTTATAATGAAAAAGTCTTTTCCTATCTTCAGTCCCTTCTCACAGAGGCAACTCTTTGTTTTTTTGTGTTTCTACTTTGTGAGTTTATCTTCCTCTAACTTTTAATACTATTGTAAAGCTAAGTAATAGTATACTACCATTTTCTACTTTATCAAATTAAGACAATTGAAATCCATAATAAAAGATGAGCATTTTACTTACATCATCCTCATTTATGATGGTAATTATTTAGTTCTTTCATTGACTACTTTTGTACTTCTAAGTAATGTATGTGATTCTTTTTTTTTTTTTTTTAAGACTTATTTATTTATTCATACAGAACTGGGGTACAGGCCAGAGATGCGGAGGGTGAGAGGATTCACCAGAGACAGAGCGGGAAGCAGAACAGGCAGATGGAGGAAGTACACTGCTGAGGGGAGCAGCGGGCGGATCAGGAGAGGTCTGCCACGCCATGTGGTCACCTCCGGGGCAGGCGGGAATCGAACTCATGCGGAAGTGGCTTTAGTTTCTCAGTGCAGTGCTTTAACCCGCTGCGCCACCAGGGAGGGCCGATTCTTTGTTTTTTATCCCACTAGCTTTAGAAAGTGAAGAAAATTTTGACACTAGCATGTTTTTTTAGAATCTGATGTATTTCAGATCTCTTCTAATTCACCTACTCATTATCTGTTATAATCAAATATCTGTTGTTTTCTATATGTTAAGCATTGTTGAATTTTGGGGGTGCAAAGTGATTGGGAAAGATTAAAATCTCTAAACTTTAATACCACTTACATTCTTGTGTGGGACATAATGATACTGGTAAATAAATAAAATATATAGTATGTTAGACACTGATAAGGGCTAAAGAGGAAAATGAAGCAGAGAAGGGAATAGGAAGCATCAAAGGAATTGTATGTTTATATAGGGTGACAGAATGCTTGAATGATACAGTTGATTAAAAATCTTGAGGGAAGGATCTATTATTTGGGATAAATACAGTTCATGCATAGAGAACAGCAAGTACAAGGCATGAATAATTTACATTATTCTTCATTTTGTACATTTTTTCATCTCATTTGGAATTCCTGTGGACTTCCCACTACCATCATTTCACCTGTGTGTAATCGCCATACTCCCATGTGCTCTTCCCACCCCAGTTTTGATCTTGTTCCCCTTTCCTTCCCCATAGAATGTCTCTGTTTATAGTTGTTAGTTGATGTTCTTTTTTACTTTATTACAATATGTGTGTGTGTATATATGATTTTGGGGTTTTTAAACATAAAATTCAAAGGTTGAATGGGTATGGAGTCAGAGAAAAGGAGGTAACAGTGATTCCACATTTTTGGTCTGAGTACTAGAAGAATGGGAATGTCCTGTTAATTGAGGTAGAGAATACTGAAGGAGGAGGACAGTCTTAGATGTGTTAAAGTTGAGCTGCCTTTTCAATAGCTAGTTGAAGGCAGTTAGGTAGGTCTGGAGCTAAGGGAATTTGAATTAGAGACTTAAATTGCAAAGTAGTAGTCCATATGGATGATATTCAAAGTGGTGAATCTTGGGCCTCCATGGTGGCCCAAGGGGTTAAAGCACAGCACTATGAAGCTATCCGCAGCTGCTGTAGGTTTGATTCCTGGCCAGGGAGGTGACCCACATGGTGCAGCAGACTTCTCCGGTCTTAACTTGCTGCTCCCCTAAGCAGTGTATTTCAGTACATCTGCCTGTTCTGCTCCCCACTTTGTCTCTGGTGAATCCTCTCACCCCTTCCCCACTTCTGGCCTATACCCCAGTTTTCATATGCATAAGTAAATAAATTATAAAGAAACCAAAAATCCAGAGTCAAAGTGGGAGTTTGGATGTGAGTGTAGCTGGAGTAGAGATTCCTCAGGACTCAATGAGCCTGCCAGCATTTAGAAGATGGGGACATGAAGGAAAACTACCAAAAGAGACTGAAGAAGCGCCAAAGTGTGGTTTGTTCTGTCATTCATTACTCTTCTACTTTTTGTCATATTTGCTTTTGTGCTATTTATCTGTATTTCCCAAGGCCCTCTTGTTCTATACGCAATGTCCAATTTTTTTTTTTTTTTTTTTTTTTTTTTTTTTTTTTTTTTTGTGAAACTCTGTACTTAGTCCTTTCTTTTCTTTTGGGTCACAGTCCCTATCTTTGCAAATTAGTGTTTTCACCTCTTCTTTGCTAATTTAAATTATGCTTTATGCTCTTTGGGTGAAAGAGTAGATGTATAGTAAATTACAAAAGGAAACAAAAAATGTAATCTATAATTCTACCACTAGAGGCTAATTGCCATAAACATTTTGACATATTACCCTCCCACCCTGCCTTCTTTTACATTTGATATAGTTGACATGTGGAAAGGGAAAGTTTGTGTTTGCTAACTTTTTTTCCTTAACAACATGAGCATTTTTCCCCATGACGATTAAAACCCCTTTGATGACATTTTTGAGTTTTCTATTTTCAAAGCTTGGATGAAGTAATAGTATATATTTGTTGTGTATTTTTTTTTTGAAGGGCTAGGTCATTTGAAAGTAAGTTTCAGACATCGTAGTTCATCTTAACGTGTTTAGCATTCATTTCCTGAAAGTTCTATATGATTGTCACACCATTATCATACCTGGAAAATATTAACTACAAAATATTTAATAATAGAGTTTATATTTTCCTATGAAGAGACATTTTTAAATCCAAGATACATTCCAGGCTTATGCATTATCCTTGGTTATTGGAAACATTTTTAATGACTGCATAATATTCCACTTTATGGAATCACTTAATTGGTAATCTAAGACCAAGCTTATAGGTTGTTGATTTTTTTTTTTTAAGACTCTTTCTTCTTCCTTTTATTTTAAGATTTATTTATTTATACATACAGAACTGGGGTCCAGGCTAGAGGTACAGGGGTGGTAAGAGGATTCACCAGAGACAGATTGGGGAGGACAGGCAGCTGTACCAAAATACACTGCTGAGGGGAATAGCGGGTAAGACAGCGTCTGCTGCACCATGTGGATCACCTCTGGGACAGGGATTGAACTTGCATTGAAGAAGCCACGGCCAGTACAGTGCTGTGCTCTAATCCATTGTTCCACCAGAGAGGGCCCATGGGTTTCTTTTAGTAACAGTAAATTTTGAGAAGGAAGATTTTACAAGGATCTCCCTGCATTTCAAATTATTTCTTACAATTAAAGTGATTTTAATGGGTGTGAATATTTTTCTAACTCTTTACCTGTTTATTTATCTTGACCTTTCTTGATCAATGTAAGATCCTTATCTCACTTCAGGTTGTATAGTATTGGATAGCAGTAGAGTGTAACATTTTTTTTCTAATTTGATTGATAACAAATGATTTCTTTACATTGTTTAAGGATACTTGTATTTATAATTTGCTTGTTTTGCTGTTTGTCCTTTTATATTTTGGGGTTCTTTTTATTAATTATTTCCTAGAGAGCAAGGTTTTGCTATATTGCAGATGTTCCCATTTTAGTTGTCTTTTAGTTTTTAGATTTTTTACTATGTAGTATTAATTTTTTTAAAAAAGGCCTTTTAACTGAATTTTGTTTAGTCACTCTGGTTCTTTAAGATTTTTTTTTAATTCAAGTATTTCTGTGTACATTGTTCTGTATTGAGCCCCTCCGTATCTAATGTACGTCTTTGTCACTTGTCAGTAATGATCTTGAAGGCAAACTTCATTAGTCTGTGTTCATATTTTTGAAAGAAAGATAAAACTCAAACTTTTTTTCCTTCTGTTTAACATCTGCATCACTTAATTTGAGACAGTGCTTTGAATTGCCATTCTTTCATAATATTCTGTAGAAAGAAGCACTATTTGGGTGAGGTTTTTTACTTTTTCAAATTTGCTTAAGTTGTGATTGTATGCCGGGATAACCATAAAATCAAAAGAAATGTTCAACCTGTCTGGAAATACATGATGGTGTCTTTCTACTATGTAGTGTTCTGGGAATGTCAGTGCAACCTGTTTCTTCTGCTGGGGAAGAGAAGGAAGAAGAGATAGAAGAAGGAGAGGAAAAGGAAGAAGATACTCCAGATGATAACACACATTCCCTCGGTGCTGAAGGTAGCCTTATACTTTCTTTAGGGTAGTAGATTGTTTTAACAATTCTTTCAACACGAGCATGCAGATATTTAAATGTTTCCTTTTATCAGATCATAGATTTCTTATGATAAAATTGAATAGTCATTAGGAAATTTGCTAGTGGTCTTAAGATATTGTATTTAATTTGGTGCTCAGGAACCTGTAGCTAATTGGTAAAGCCCTTTTTATGTATTGACTCTCCTTCCTTTCATATTCATTTGTTTTTAAAATATTTTGGGGGAACCTCCCTGGTGATATAGGGGGTTAAGTCTCAGCACTATTAAGCTGATGAAGCTGTACAAATTTGATCCTTGGCCATGGAGCTGATCCATATTGAGCGGTTGACTATACCTGTCTCCTCACTGCTCCCCTTAGCAATATATTTCAGTAGAGCTACTTTGTTCTTTTTTTTTTTTTTTTTGGTTTGTTTTGTATTGTACTATTATTTATTTATGCATGCAGAACTGGGATACAGGCAAGAGGTGTAGGGTCTGCCTAGCCATATGGATCACTTCTGGGGCGGGGGATTGAACCTGCACTGAAATGGCTGCAGCCTGCTTGCAGTGCTGTGTTTTCAACCCGTTGCCCTACCAGGGAGGGCCATTTACCTGTTCTGCTCCCCACTCTGTCTCTTTCAATCCTGCACCTCTGGCCTATACTCCACCTCTTGGATGCATAAATAAATCTTAAAAAAAAATATTGTAGGGATATGTTTTGTGGTTGGAATTACAGTCTGAAATGCTGTTTGTATCTTCAGAAAGTAGACATAGTTCAGTAATATTCAATGCTTGTAAGGTTTTATATTATTTGTTTTTTAAGATTTATTTAAGCGTATAAGAACTGGGGTGTAGGCCAGAGAGGTGGGGGGATGAGAGGATTCACCAGAGACAGAGTGGGGAGCAGAACAGGTGGGTCTACTGAAATACACTGCTGAGGGGAGATGTAGGGGAGACAGGAGAGGTCTGTTGAGCCATGTGGGTTAGCTCCCTGGCGAGGGATAGGATACATACTGTAGTGGCTGGTGACAACTTGATAGTGGTAAGACTTTATTCCCTGCGCCACAAGGGAGGCCTTCATAATTTTATACTCGATCATATTTTGAAAAATTTTGAGGAGCAGGAAAAATTTTGAAGTGAAGGACTGAACATGACCCTTTTTTTGCTAAGGGACAGTGGCTTGCACAGTGCATAATATTGTGGGATAACATCTAATTTCTTGAGGTTTTCTTCCTAGATCCTGCCTCATCACAGTTGGGCTTTGGAGTTCTGGAACTTTCCCAGAGTCAGGATATTGAAGAACATACTGTGCCATATGAAGTAGACAAAGAGCATCTACAGTCAGTACCCATGAACTCACTAACCAGACTATCTGATGTGGATGCTAATATTGGTATGAAACATGTTTTGCAACATTTGGGATTGTTTAAAAACATTTCCTCCATATCAATTATTCCTCCATACTCATTTTATTTTATATAACTGTCTAAGTTAATATGCCAGCAGATAAAGGAGGATTGCACAGCTTTCTGGTAAATACTTAGCCAGTTGATGGCTTGCAAGTTGAACTTTCTCTAAGTGGTTGTAATCCTTTTGGAATGATGCCCGTATAAGTTTTCAAATTGAGTTTCTTTGTATTAAAGTTATTTCTATTAAATATCATTCCTGTTTTCTTTTAACATTTCAAGCAGTTAAGCACGAACAGTCCAGTGAAGATATCCCAATGGCAGAACAACCCAGCAAGGATGTCCCTGTGGCAGCACAGCCCAATAAGGATATAAATGTGGTAGAGGAGAAAAGCCCCTTACCTGCACGGTAAGTCATGTTCTTTCTGGAAAGTATTTATGACTTTCTGCCCTAGGTTATATACCAGTTTCACTTTGCCATGTGGAAATGTTTTCACAAATTATTTTTTTCCCGCACTGGGCATATTTCTGGTCTAATAGAAACACTAATTATTTGTGAATTCTCATCTTCTAAAATTTTATTTTTAAAAAAAGATTGATTTTTTTATGCATATAAGAACTGGGGTTCAGTCCAGAGATGTTGGGGGTGAGAGGATTCACCAGAGACGGAGTGGGGAGCAGAACAGGCAGACCTACTGAAACACTGCTGAGGGGAGCAGAGGGCAGGTTAGGAGAGGTCTGCCACGCCATGTGAGCTGCCTCCCTGGCCGGGGATAGAACGCATACTGCTTTGCCTGTGGATAGCCTCATAGTGCTGTGCTTTAATCTGTTTTGCCACCAGGGAGGAACCTGTAGAGTTTATTTCTGTGGGAGGTCTTCATAGATCCTCTGTGTTAAGAAGAGACGTACAAATACTATATTTAAAAGTCTTCTATTTCAGTACTTATGCACACAGATTGTTTTGGGTCTTTAGGTATCCTGAATCTGGTTTTCATGCAGAGTTATAGTCTTTTTCCAAGTCCTTTTGGTTCCTAACCTGGTAGAAGTTGAGTAGCATACCTTGCTTTACTTCTGGTGATTTTTGTGTGCAAAACAACATGTGGTCAGTATCTCATTTAATTATGGCAAAGGGAATGTGGAATGTTTTCAATTTGGGGAGAGGGAATGAGTAAATACTCAGTAAATACTTATTTCAATAGAAATCGTGGACTGTGAGCAAAGATGATTATCAAGAGAAATTGGCTCTCGTGAAAAACAGCATAATAGGTTGACTTTTTAGGCTTTTCTTTTGAAAGTTGTATTCCAGCTAGTTTTGCTCTCTTGTTTACCTGGGGAGTGGTAGTGTAGGTGTACCTAAGTCTCTGGAAAAGGGGCCACCAATGGGTACGTTCACATGTTAACATCACTTTTGGATATGGAGAATTGTGGATCATTAGCTAATATTATAAATTTAATACTACAGAGAGATTGGTATTGGTGCCTTGATTGGGGAGTTAGGGTGGGTAGATAAAATGGAAAAGCTGAGTGGAAGATAATGTGCGGTACTAGCACAGAGGATAGCTGGCATTGTGGTCTGTGTTCGAATCCTTTCTGCATGTCTAGGTAACAGGTGACAAAAATTCTTAAACACTCAGTCAGAAATGCAGCACAGCAGGAAGCAGAGTTGGAAAAAGAGATACTGCTATGTGAGAGACTGAAACAGGCTTTAAAACAGGCACAGTTTTAAAAAATTGTATCATTTTCAGTAGTAATGGAGATTTGAGCTACTGGCATTTTGAAATTATTTAAGAAACACACAAAAGACAAAACGTTTTTTAGTTTAAAGCTGAAAGCATTTGAACTTAGCAATTGTTTCTCCCGGTGATATGAATTTCCTAGATCTGAGGACCTGCCTTCTAGTCCCAAGGTATCTCTTGCTCCTGTGGAAACAAAGGAACAAATATCTGCTCAAGAACTTGTGGAAAGTGGAATGGAGATTCAGAAGTCACCAGAGCCTGAGGTTTTATCAACTCAGGAAGATTTGTTTGACCAGAGCAATAAAACAGGTACAAAGAGCAGTTAATTGCTATACCTTCTCTTCCAAAGATCTAAAATTTTATTTCTATTATGAGGTTATAGTTTAAGTTAGAAGTCACTTTATAGGTATATAGATTTGATGGTGATTTAGAAGGAAAATATGCTTCTAGCTGATTAGGGAGAAAGGCATTTTTGGAATGATTACTACTTAACATTTTAACATCACTTTCTCTCTTTTGGATATGGAGAATTGTGGAACATTAGCTAATACTATAAATTTAATACTACAGAGAGAGTGGTTATTTCTATCATAAGTCTTCAGATATTATAAGATATTAGATAGAGTAGGTTAGTGTTAGTTTTTCATAGTCACTTGGGTAGCATCTACTTTCTCATCAGTTTATTCATCTACCACAAATAAGAAGTTATGGCCTAGCAGAAAATACATAAAATGTAAATGTAGGCTAGGATGTTTCTTGTTTCACATTTTATCAGCTGCCATCAGTTCCCCCCTTTCTGCAACCTCTCAGAACCCCAAGGTTCAGTAATAATCTATAATACAATCTGTTGATTATAAGGAGGGAAAATGGTTATATTCCTTTACTGTGCTGTGAATGTAGGTTGCAATGCAGGACATTGAATTCAGATGGTCACCAAGAAACCTTTTGTGGTCTCTCACTAAAGCTACTATAAGGTCATATTTGAGAAATTCCTTTATGTTTAGGATTAAATTAGCTGCTACTCCATCTTTTGCTAAGGAGATAGGACGAACAGGAGACTCTTCATAGTAGAAATCAGTAATGGCTGCTTACTAAAGCATTAGTATTTTCTGTCTCCTTTTGAGGGGCTCTAAGTTCTAATCTTGAAAATTGCTGCATTCGTATTATCAGGTGTCATGCGCATTGTTTTGACTTCTCCCATCTGCATCATGGCATGAGCTTTACTTCACCTTAGGTAGACCTTGGAATAAAAGGCTCGCTTGCTGTTTTATAATAGAAGCTACACAAGAAAGAAGAGCAGCCAAGCAGAGGTATAAGGATTCTGACTTTTCCTCTCCACGCTTTGATCATGACAGAAAGGACTAAGGAATTCTTTTTGTCAATTCTTTATTAAAAATATATTTTTTTAGGGAGGGGGGTGTTTAATGGTCACTCAAGTAGTTCTTTGACACAAGATTTGTGTTAGTGTGGCATTTCATTAATTGTCATACCGTTAGAAAACAGTTTCTGCCTTCTTGAACATGGTTGGAAACATGATTATCAGTCTTTTCACAGTATTGAGGTTTGTTTGGTTGTTTTGGCAACTCATTAGTGTCAGTCCAAGAAGTAAATAGATTAGAATGTCTTTCTTTTTTTCAATAGCTTCTGATGGTTATTCTACTCCTTCGAGAGAAGGTGTGTGTTCTCCAGCTTCTACACCTGCTACTACTCTGCACCTCCTTCAGCTCTCTGGTCAGCGGTCCCTTGTTCAAGAGAATCTTTCCACGTGAGTAACCTTAAAATAGTTTGTGCTGGCCCTCCCTGATGGTGCAACAGGTTAGAACGCAGCTCTGCAAGCGAGCCGTAGCTGCTTCAGTGCAAGTTCGATCCCCGGCCCTGGAGGTGATCCACATGGTGTGGCAGACCTCTCCTGGCCTGCCCGCTGTTCCCCTCAGCAGTGCACTTCACCTTTCTGTCAGTTCTGCTCCCCACTCTGTCTCTGGTGAATCCTTTCACTGCCCCTGCACCTCTGGCCTATACCCCAGTTCTGTATGCATAAATAAATAAATAAATCTTAAAAAAACCCCAATAATTTGTGCCAAGGAAACATGTTTCTGAGGGTTTTAAACTAAGGTTGGAAGAGGTACATTATCTGTTAGCTTAAAATTCTTTTTGAAATCGAAAGGTTGACTCTAGAATTTGGGGATGAAAACATAGTGGAACTACTGAACTTAGTGGAATTTATTTCAATTATTGAACTAAGTGAAACTATTGAAGCAGGTAGATCTGCATTTCATTTTGGAGGTTTTAGAATAAAAACCCAGTTTTCACTTGGGAATAAATTATCCAATTTCATTGACTGAAACATCCAGGAAAAACATTCTGCTCCTCTGTTTTATTAGTGTTCTCCCCAATTTATAGCATAAAGTATAGAAGAGGTTATATTAGAGTTGAAATTTGGGTTTCTTGCCTTCCCCGTCACCCCACAAGTTGAATTTCTTTTATCTGTGTTAGGGCAAAAAGTTTGCTTTTGGAAAATTTTTAATTAAAGTATCAACTTGGGGGCCCTCCCTGGTGGTGTAACTGGTTAAAGCACAGCACTGTGGAACTGTGGCAGCCACTGTAGCCCGAGTTTGATCCCTAGCCCACATGGCATGGCAGACCTCTTCTGACCCCGGCCGCCCTCCCCTCCCGCCTGCTGCTCCCCTCAGCAGTGTATTTCACTACATCTCCCTAGTCTGTCTCTGGTGGATCCTCAGCCCCCTGATCTCTGGCCTATACCCCAGTTCTGTATGTATAAATAAATAAATCGTTAAAAAAATAAATCATTTTGGGCCTCCCTGGTTGTGCAGGGTTTAAAGTTTGAGCACTATCAAGCTTCTGTCAGCCACTGTAACATGAGTTTGATCCCTGGCTAGGGAGCATAGCAGGTCTCTCTCCTATCTTGCCTGCTGCTCCTCTTCAGCAGTATATTTTAGTAGGTCTACCTGTTCTGCTCCCCTCTCTATCTCTGGTGAATCCTCTCACCACCACCCTCCACTCTGGCCTATATCCTAGTTCTTATATGCATATATCAATGAAAATCTTAAAAAAATGCAGCATCTTTATAAATTAGGTTAAAAAAATGGAGATTTTTTTGTTTCAAGTAAGCAGATCAACCATGTGTTTGGCCATTTACTTTCTCATAAGTATGGCTTTATCCTTACTCTTTAAAACTAAAAAGAATCCTAGTTTGGATCTACCTGGCGTGAGAAGTAATTACTGAAGTAGCATGAGTCTTTTACCAGCCGTACATAATTAATTGAGAGAAATGCTAGTAAGTGTTTGCCTAAATTACTTAGATATTTTGTCTGTTAAAAGTGAAAGAAAATACAGAAATGCAAAACTGTGGCTATAGTAAAATAACGTATAATTCTCTCATGTCAAGGAATTCCTCAGATCTTGTTGCTCCTTCCCCGGATGCTTTGCGATCTACCCCTTTTATTGTTCCTAGCAGTCCCACGGAAGAAGATGGAAGAAAAGGTGAGCTATTTGATGTATCTTATACCTCATATTAGAAATGGAGCAACATTTCTTCTACATGGCCAAATGCACTGTTTATATGTTAGAGCATTGTGACCTAACTGTTCAGTGGGATTCAAGTCTGAGAGAGTTGTGAACTAATGTAATATGCTCTTAGTTCTGTGCTGTTCTAGCACTGAGTATTCTGAGAATTCTGTGTTATTGGCTTGGTTTTTTTTAAAAGACCTGAAGAAAAATTTTATTTTAAAAAGTTGAATTAAATGGCCCTCCCTGGTGGCGCAGCGGGTTTAAGCACAGCACTAAGAAGCTAAAGCCACTGCAGCGTGAGTTTGATCCCCGCCTGCTCTGGAGGTGTCCACATGGCGTGGCAGACCTCTCCTGACCCGCCCGCTGCTCCCCTCAGCAGTGTGCTTCGTCAGTCTGCCTGTTCTGCTCCCCTCTCTGTCTCTGGTGAAGCCTCTCACCGCCCCTGAGCCTCTGGCCTGTACCCCAGTTCTGTATGTATAAATAAATAAATCTTTAAAAAAAAAAAGTTGAATTAAATGAATTTAATTTAATAGTGAAGAACTGGGCTAATTACTAATGTCCTAGCAATTTCCAGCAATATGTTACTAGTTACTTGTGAGTGAGAACCAGAAATTATTTCTCTTACTCCTTGTAATTTCTTTTGCTTTGTTAATAAAATAGAGTAAAAGCTAGAGAGGCTGGACACAGCTGGTAGAAATTTTAACTTCCTTTTTTTCCTCTTTTGATGAACTGGTAATAGTGGTTTTATGTTTATTTGTACACAAGAAAGCTTTCATTTTACATACCTAGTTTATCTCATTATCTTCTTGCTCCTATCCAGTCATTCCAAATATTTCTAAATCCCTACTACTTTTTTCAAATACCAATAATGGTACAATAACTACTATTTATTGAGTACTTAGTATGTACCAGGAACTGTGTTCTGTGTGCTGCTTTTAAATTGAATCCTCAATACAATCTTTAAGATACAGGTATACACTTTAATTTCATTTTACAGATGAAGAAATGGAGGCACATAGAAGTCTGACAGGTTTTAACTCAGGCTTTCAGAGTTTTATTTGTCATGTGTATGCCTCCTCTTACATCCTTGTGCCTTCAAGTGATGTATATGACATAGATTAAACAGCTTTTCAGGTGTATTCTGTAACAAAAATTTAAGCTTAGAATTTCTTCTGCTACAAAGGTTGTTTCTGGCTGTCTTCTCTTGAATCTTTTGTTGTATGGACTAATGTAATTTAAAAGTATCATGATTAATGAGAACTTTACTAGGAAAACAAAGTATAAAAGTGAATCCACTCTATTAAAAATGTGTTAATGCAAATTAAGTTTGGTTTGTACTTATAACTATTTTATAATATAATATTTTGTAATGTGCACGTTAAAAATCCAGACAATTATATTAAGAATGCTTTTTCCCTGATTGTAAAAATAATTAATACTCGAGGAATATTTGAAAAGTAATGAGAAGAAAATAATCATTGTTAATAACACAATGTAGATATGATTTTAATTGGCATTTGGATATGTTTCCTTTCAGTGTTTTCTATGTATAAGTTATCTTTACACAGTTGGAATCATGTCATGCATATGATGCACTGGATTTTTTTTTATTTCTTCATCTGACATCATATATTCCCTTGTATTTTTTCATGTACTTTAGAAAGCTTATAGGAACAGCACAGAAGACAGACATTAAAAATATATTGGTACGTAGGATAAATTAGAAAAGTGTAGTGAATGGATGGAATCTACTGTCTGATTAAAAATACTACAAATATCATTTAATTGAATAGGAAATACACTTTAAAAAAATAATAATAGTTTACTTTTACATCATTTTGTGCCTTTTTCCATCTCAGTTGTAATCCCTATTGGCTTCCCATCACCAAATCACCCTTGTGCCATCACCATAGTCTAGGGAACTAACCTCCCCACCCCATTTTTGATCCTATCCCCCACTCCACCCCTGTAAAATGTCTCTGGTGTATAGTTGTTCATTATTATTATTTAATATAATAGTTTATTTTTATATCATTTTGTGCATTTTCCCATCTCATTTGCCAATCCCCTTGGGCTTCCTATCATCAAATCACCTATGTGCCATCACCACAGTCCAGTGCAGGAAATACACATTTTTTAAAAAAATCCAAATGTTGGCAGCTGATTTATTTATAATCGTTATAAAGTTGAGCTGCTAAAACTTGTTCACTGAAACATTTTTTTTCCACTGCAACATTTTGACTTGAATTAATGCTTCATAGCCCCACATTTATATTTAAAATTCATACACTAATGAAAATGGGAAAAGTACCAATACCTGATTTTTGTCTCCTATTTTCCACTTGGAATTAATATACTTAAGTACCATTTCACCAATGGCATATAGGTAGGCTGCTGCAAATACCATCTGTTGTATTTGAAATTTAATACATTTTCTTTCTATGTGCATAACTGTTTGCCAGATTATATATGCTTTTTGCATTTCTTTTTGCTTTTTCTTTAACATCACTAACCTAAAACCTTTCTGAATGTAGTGTGTAGAATAGAGGATTGTTAATAAGTGCTTTGTCATGGTAAGAAAGCTCAAAAGGTACAGTTAAAATTATCACAGATGTGGTAGTGCAGTAAAGGTCTGCAGCACAAGATCCTGAATTTAGCACTAGACTATAGTGTGAAGTTGAGAGTCAAGCTAAATAGCAAGGATGAGAGTTATGAGTAGTTTTGTAGCATGGGTGTGAGTTATAGGGAAAAACTCAAAAGCGTAAGAAGTTTGTGAGAGTGATACAGAGGAAGGCTGTGTGGGATCAGGTTGTTAGGGAGAGAAAAAAGGATTGATAATCACATAACTAGCTAGCTAGGCTAGCTCTGAAAATCAGCCAACTGGTAGGTAGTATACTATGGGAAAGTAGTGTTTTATGTCTCCCTTCTAAACAATTACTTTTCCTTTTTTAAAAAAGATTTATAAGAGGTGTGGGGTGTAGGCCAGAGTGGACAGTGGTGGTGAGAGGGTTCACCAGAGTGGGGAGCATAATAGGTGGATTAACTGAAATACATTGCTGAGGGGAGCAGCAGGCAAGACAGGAGAGGTCTGCTGCGCCATGTGGGTCATTTCCCTGGCCAGGAATCGAACCGGTGTTGTAGTGGCTGTGGGTAGCTTCAGTGCTGAGACTTAACCTCTTACACCACCAGAGAAGTGAACAATTTCTTAGAAGTAGTATATTTAGTTCTTTGATAAATAAGGGTAATGACATGGATGGATTTTTCTTTCATATTTGTTCTGGCTGTCATTCCATTTCTCTGCACTTAGCAATTTTTTATGCAAATGTAATGATTTTACAAATTCATAAATATTTTTTTAGATGTTCACTGCCTTTCTTTTTTGTTTTTTGTTCACTACCTTTCAAGATCTGTGGTAGACTATGTGATGATGGTTAAATTAGGTGCCTTGAATCTGGCATTCCTGAGCAAAGTGTGAAAATCTGAACTATCACCAGGAAATGGACTCAGAGGATCCCAGTTAATTTATCATTTCATACCTTGGTGGGTAGTCTCAGATGAGCCTCATTTCAGTCTGTATCTAACTAAATATTTTAGGAATATGGACTTCCATCCACATAGTGGAAGAAAGTATTACTAGATTTCCAGGCTTTCATCTATTTTAATCCATCAGTTTTTCTGGAAATTACACCACTCTTATGTTTTTTAGGAATAACAGGTTCTGCAAAATAATATTTTAAGTAATGCTTGGGCATAAGTAGCATTGAGAAGTGCTTATTTCTCAATTTGTTTTTTCCTGTGTTAAACCAGATGAGCCAATGGATATGTCAATGTTATCTGAAGGAAGGGGAGAGTCTTTTCAGAAGAAACTCAAGCCAATAGAGATAGAAAACCCTCCTCTTCCACCTGAATCCACTATCCCACCACAGGCCTCAACACCCGTATCTCAGAGCACACCTATCTTCACTCCTGGGTCACTTCCTGTCCCATCCCAGCCTGAATTTTCTCATGTGAGTATTACAGTTTTTTCTAAGTTTTTTTTTTTTAAACAACTTTATTGAGATACAACTGATAAACCATGAAATTCATCCTTTTGAAGTTTAACATTAGTGACATTTTTAGTAAATTAGGTGTACAAGTGTCATCACAATTCAGTTTTCCTCCACTCATTATGAGTTTTATTTTTTACTTTTTCAGTTTAGTAGAAAACTCTTTTTGTAGTGGTAAAATACATATAACTTTAAATTTACCTTCTTAACTGGGTAGTAGTATTAAGTGTATTCACATTTTTGTGTAGTCTCTAGAACTACTTTCACCTTGTATAACTGAAACTATACACATAAAATAATTCTCCACTCCCTCCTTTTCTTATTAGGCCCTGGCAGTTCTTTCTGTCCTGACACAGTTGAGTTTTAGAATATTTCCAGATTCACCAAAACCATAATCCACTCTGTATGCCTTGCATCTTTAAAGTTTTTGTATATGTTATTAGAAAATTGAAAACAGCATTAATCGCTTAACACAGCCGCTACTGTTGTTTTTGTCTTTTCACATACCTACTTTAAAAATTTTTTTCTTAAAATTTTTTTTTCTATTTGTGCTATGATAGTTTCAGTCATAACAATTGAAAACAGTGATTTTCTTTTTGGTGACTAGTTTTTTGGTTTATAACATTGTGCATGATTTAAGGAAGTAGTTGCCCACTTCTTCAGATGTGTTGCCATGCCACACTTGCCACTAAAGTAGCCATAATTCATCTATAGACTGTTAGGTCCTCTCCCCACTTTAATCCTTATCCCTTCCCCTTTAGAAGTATAATTCTGCAGTCATATATTTAGGATTTTTTATTTAGTTATCTATTCCTTTGTTTATATTCCATATGACTGATGTTATCTGGGTACTTGTCTTTCTCCTTCTGACTTATTTCAGTTAGTATAATCCCCTTCAATTCCATCTATGCCACAAATGGCAAGATAGCATCTCTCTATAGCTGAGGAATATTCCATAGATTCTTTATCCACTTACCTATTCTTAGGCACTTAAGTTGTTTCTATAATTTGGCTGTTATAAATAGTGCTGCAGTGAACATAGGAATACATATATCCTTTTGAATTAGTGCTTTTGCACTCTTTGTATAAATGCAAAGGAGTGGAATTGCTGAATCAGATGATACATCTATTTTTAATATTTTCAGAACCTCCTTACGGTTTTCCATAGTGATTAGACCAACCTACATTCCCATCAGCAGTGTACAAGGGTTCCTTTTTCTCCACCCTCTCACCAACATTGTTGTTTTTAGCTTTCTTATATGGGCCATTCCCATAGGAGGTGAGGTGATATCTCATTGTGGCTTTGATTTGCATTTATACCCACTTTTTAAAAAATATCAAGTTGTTTGTAGTGAACATACAATTTGAATTTTCATTTCCCAGTTAACAGACTCAGAATGATTTTTTATTTTATAAGTTTATTTTTACATCATTTTGTACATTTTTTTTTCCCATCTCAATTGTAATCCCCGCGGGTTTCCCATCACCAAGTCACCTGTGTGCCATCACCATAATCCCGTGCATTTCCCCCCTCCCATTTTTGATCCCATTCCCCACTCCACCCCTGCAAAATGTCTCTAGTATATGGTTGTTCATTATTTTTAAGTGGACATACAGTAATTAATAATTATTCCTGTACTGAATGTATCAAGATGGTTTTTGGTTTTTAAATGAGAAATTTTCTCCTAAAAGCAAGGAAAATAAATCTCTCGTATAATTTTAAAATATTTTTTTGAAAAATGCGAATTTCCTTCATAGTGAGTCGAAGGTCCAAACTAAACCTGAATGACTATATGTTAAGTCTATTAAGAGTAGTCTTCCTGTTCCTGTAAGGCCTTACTGGTGAAATTGTTTTAGTATTTTTTGGAGAGTTTCTTTCATGTCTTTCAGTTTGCAGATGTTGTAACAAAAGTTTGTATTTAAAAATAAATTGAGTGAAATATACTTACTTGTCTTTAAGTGATGTGATATTAAGTGAATTTATTGAGGAGGAGTCAGTAGGAAGAAACAAGTGTAATTACTATCTGGAGTTACAAAAATTGTGTTTTGTTGAAAGATTCTGTTTAATTCAAGTAACTGGAAGTGATTTGAAAGTCATTAAGAAAAAAGATTCTAGAGTTATATTTTGTTGGACTTATTCCTGACTTTATTTTTATCACCTTTTGAAGCATCGAGTTATTGATGTATTACCAATATCAAATGCAGATATGAAAGTTAATTGGGTTATAGTGCCTAGATAGTACCTTGCACATGCTAAGCATTGCATAAAGAGTAAGCTATTGCAGGCAGTGAAGTGATTTGTAGAAATGTAGTGAATATTCAACCACCATACATTTTTTTCTTCAGCTTTATTTTTCTATCAAATATTTATATCACACATCATTATATATGATATGCATAGTTTAGGAGTGAGCTATAAACAGTGACCAACAGTACTGAGAAGAATTTTTCAGGAAAAGCAGCTGAAAATTAAGTGATAGTAAAGATTTTTATAAAAATATGTTTTCTCAAAAGGTATCCCTACTAGTGTGGCTGCCTAGAGAACTGACTTTGTTTTTTTAATAATATAAAAGTTTATTTTTACATTATTTTGTGCATTTTTCCATCTCAGTTATAATCCTTGTAGGCTTCCCATCACCAAATCACCCGTGTGCCATCACCATAGTCCAATGCACTTCTCTCCCCCCCACCGTTTTTGATCCCATTCCACCCCCATAAAATGTCTCTGGTGTATAGTTGTTCATTATTCTTATTATTTTCTTGCCTGGTCCTTTATACTCCTGCTATGAGTGAAACCATCCAGTATTTTTCCTTTTCTTTCTGGTTTTATTTCACTAAGCATGATCTTTTCCAGCTCCATCCATGTTGCTGCAAAAGGCATGTGTTTATTTTTTTTGGTTGCTGAGTAATATTCCATTGTGTATATGTACCACATCTTTTTTTTTTTTTACAAAAGTTTATTTTTACATCATTTTGTACATTTTTTTTTCCATCTCAATTGTAATCCCCATGGGTTTCCCATCACCAAGTCACCCATGTGCCATCACCATAAATCCCGTGCATTTCCCTCCCCACCCCCCTGTTTTTGATCCCATTCCCCACTCCACCCCCACAAAATGTCTCTGGTATATGGTTGTTCATTATTTTTGTTATTTTCTCGCCTGGTCCATTATACTCCTGCTGTGAGTGAAACCATCTGGTATTTTTCTTTCTCTTTCTGGCTTATCTCACTAAGCATGATCTTTTCCAGCTCCATCCAAGTTGCTACAAAAGACATGTGCTTCTCTTTTTTGGTTGTTGAGTAATATTCCATTGTATATATGTACCACATCTTTTTTATCCAGTCACCTACTTTTGGGCATTTCCATGTTTTTCCAATTGTAAATAAAGCAGCAATAAACATGGGGGTGCAGATATCTTTTTGAATCAGTGTTTTTGTGTCTTTTGGGTAGAAACCTAGGAGAGTGGGATTGCTGGGTGGGATTGCTGGGTGGTAGGGAAGCTCCATGTTTAGCAGTTTGAGGAACCTCCAAACAGTTTTCCATAGTGGTTGTACTAGTTTGCATTCCCACCAGCAATGCAGGAGAGTTCCTTTTTCTCCACATCCTCACCAACATTTGTTGATGCTAGTTGTTTGAAGATGTGCCATTCTCACTGGGGTGAGGTGGTATCTCATTGTGGTTTTAATTTGCATCTCCCTTATTACAGGTGATGAACATTTTTTCATATGCTTGTTGGCCATCTGCATTTCCTCTTTGGAGAAGTGTCTCGTTAGCTCTTCTGCCCAATTTTTGATGGGGTTGTTTATTTTTGTTGAGTTTCATCAGAACTGGCTTTTTAAAAAGAGAAGGAATACACTGTTGAAGAAATTGATTAACCTTAAACATTTACCAAAGCTCTTCAGAGACAGGTATAAAGCCAGCACTGAAAATTTGGGGGGAAGGGAAGAAACTGGGGCAAAGAAGTGATACGAAACACAGTTTAGAAGATCCTGCAACCTAGGGTGACTAGTCAGATTTCTTTTGGCTTCATCTTAAGGTGCCTCACCTGGTATAGTTAGTTAATCCCCCATAAGGTAACTGTGCCAAGATGGCTGATGTTTGTCAACATCAAGGAATTTCTCTTGGAAACCTAATTTTGGAAGTATCCATGATAGAAGGGAGAGGTGTGGGAGACTCTTTTCCCCGATCACGGATTATTGGGGGGCATAACAGGCAGGGCCTCAAGGTGGGAACGGTGTCTGCGAGAGGAGATTCCTAGAAAAAGGGGAAAAAGGGAAAAAAGGGGAGCGGGCGCGAGGAAGACAAGGCAGTGGGAGTTGGGTGCAAGTGTTCCTGTTCTGCTTTCAGCAGAGGTTTGTTTTATACATTTCTAGCAGGCCAAGGGATGACATTAGCATATGAAGTGGGCTGAGATCACAATCACCTTTTTTCTAAGAATAGTCTGGGGTTGTTTTGACCTTCAGTTGAGATTATAACATTTTTAAAATCAATCTATCAAGGTTAAAACAGGTACATAGATTTACAAAGTTTAAGACTAATATTACTATATTTACCACAGTGAAGATTAACCAAAATAAAGTACCTGAAACTTTATCTATTACTTAAGGGCTTTCATTCTCATGGAGACATCCTAGGGGGTAAAGTAAAGTGAGGGCAGGAAGAGGAAATTTCTTGTAAATCAAATTAAGGTAAGGTTCTTTGAAAAACTTGTTAGAAAGTTTGAGTTTTTTTGAAGTCTAGATGATGGAAAACCTGATTAGCTCTGCATAGGCGACTTGGGTGAATTTCCATATCTAAAAACTAGAGCATTGGAAGTTTGAGTGGTTACTTAGAAACTGAATAGAAGGCTATGTGAGATAGAGCATTAAGATTTGGGTTTTCCTCCCTCTGGCAGTGAGAGAGACTTTGCAGTAACAGCCATTTGTTTTTATTAATCAGCCAGTTTAGTGACTTTGTACT